CACAGGGGACAAGGCACAAGGGTCTCTACACTGAGTGCCTGATGCCTGTCTCCTTGCTCACGTAGCCACAGCCATAGCAGCTGCAAGGCTTTTCTCAGGAATCTGGTGGCAGTATGCCCATCCCAGTGACCCTGTCTACCTGAAGACAGTGTTATGGGCAGTGGAGCTCTGCCTGCTCAGCTTCCCTTCTGTGATCTCGGGGGAGTCTGGCTTATGACAACAGCTACCTGCTGCTTTCTTCCTCTGTCTGCTGGCTGACTACTGCTGCTCTTGCCACATCTGGTGGATTCTGGCTGGTGGAGTTCGGAGAGCCAAGTTTCCCAGAGCAGCTGGACCTTAGCCTCAACCAGCTGGCTGGCTTGTCCTGGGACATCCATGCCACCCTAGCTATGCTCCACCTGCACCTCTCCCAACCTGCTAGCCTGCTTGGAACCTTGCAGCTCGGGGAGCCATGAGCAGCTCAACCTGAACCTCTGGCAGTTGCTCAAGCTGGATGCAAGTGGGCAGGTGGGCTCAGGGGCCTCTTCAGCCTACACCAGCCAAGCTGGTGGGGATCTGGGTGCAGCTGGTCAGTGATGCCACCATGCAAGAGTAGCAAGTCCTCCCTCTAACTAGGAACAGGAGACTGAGGGGTTTGTGGCCCTGTGAGCACTGGGTCCCCTCCCATGCCAGGCCCAAGGTACTTATGGACAGCTGATATCAGGCACATGTCTGGCCTGCAACCTCAAGACATGGGTCTGCCCTGGGTGACATTCTGCCTGGCTATTCAACAGTGCTGAGCAGCATCGGGTCCTGACTGTGCCCAGTTAAGAGACATCACTGTATTGGACATCCTGGGCACCATCCTGGTCACCGTGGCTTTGGCGGATCTCTGGGGAAAGGATGGTTGCGGTGGACAGAGTAGGACGGATTGCCCGCTGCCTAGCCACCATGCCAGCATCTCTCCCAACTCTAACCTAACCTCGTGGCCACTGCAGGAGAAAGGCAGAGGTTAAAAGGGACTTTAGAGGAACTAGGGAGACCAAGTAGCAATGGAGGCTGCCTTAGTCCTAAACTCTCTCGTGCCTGTCCCTGGGCTCTGCAGATGAGGCCCTCCTTGGCCACTGTGTGGTGATGGCCCAGAAGGGCTTCTTGCACTGTCCCACCTGTGGTTCTTCAGCACTTAGGGCTGTGATTTTTGTCCATTTGAACCAGGGCTGGGTAAGGAAATGAAAAATAAAACCAACTTAAAAGTGGATTCTGTGCTACAGTGGAAAAAAAAATGCTTATCACTGATGAGAGGTAGGTAAAATTAACTCATCCTTTGATCCATTGCCCTTACCTCCTGATCTTCCACCCACGCGTACACTGCAAAAACGCTACTCCAGAGTCCAGTGCAATGGCTCAATGGCAAAATCCTCACTTCGCTGGCACCAGTTTGTGTCTCACCTGCTCCACTTCCCTTCCAGTGCCCTCCTTGTGACTTGCAAAAGCAACAGACGGCCCCAAAGCCTTCGGACCCTATAGATCCTGGCTTCAGAAAGGCTCAGCTCCATCCATTGCGACCATTTGGGGAGTGACCCAGCAGATGGAAGATCTTTATGTAGTTCCTCTGTAAATCTGATCTGCTTTTTCAATAAAGAAATCTTTTATTATTTTTTTAAAAGATTTATGGGAAAACCATTTACGGAGAGAAGGATATATAAATGACAGATCTTCCATCTGCTAGTTCACTCCCCAAGTGGCCAAATGGCCAAAGCCAGAACCTTCTTTGGGGTCTCCCATGTGGGTACAGAGTCTCAAGGGTTTGGGCTGCCCTCCTCTGCTTTCCCAGGCCACAAGCAGGGAGCTGCATGGGAGGTGGAGCAACCAGGACATGAACTGGCACCCATGTGGGATCCTGGCACATGTAAGGCAAAGACTTTAGCCACTAGGCTATTGCACCGTGCCCTAAAAATAAATCTTTAAAAAATTATATTCCATAGTTTTTTGTTTTATTTATTTATTTATTTTGCCTGACTACATCCCTCACATTCTTTTGATCTAAACACACTGAAGGCTTTAGTGTCTGGCTGTCACTGCCTGAGTTGCATGGTTAGAAATGCTGTTTGGGCACAAGCCCTCTCCTAGGAAACTGGAAGCTGACCTTCTGAGTTCAAGTAGGGATATAATTTTAATGCAGGATGATGGGTTCCTATGGGGACAACCTTGTGACAACCTTTAGGGTGCCCACAACTTTTGCCCATTGATTTATACAAGTAGCATTCCCTGTATACTTAGTATGGACTGAGACATACTGATAACAGTTTTCCTTGACTTATACATTGCACATTTCCTAAATACATGCTGAGTCCCAGGCCATGAGGCTTCTTGGTCCTCAGAATCCAGTGAGAGTAGATAGCTGAGAGTAAAAGAAACGAGTGTGTAATTGCCACTGTGCTCAGGGATTCAAAGAAAGTACAGCTGGCACGGGAAAGGCAGTAGAGAAAGGAGCAGGCTAGAGGTCAAACAGTGAGAGAAGCTGGGAGGCTGCTACTTCTAAACCAACATAACATTGGGCAGGGGTGGGCATGTGATGTAGTGGTTAATACATGACATTGCATGAAAAAGGGTGTGAGTTCAAATCTCAGCTCTACTTCCAAGTTTGGCTTTCCGCTAATGTGCCCCAGCGAAGAGCAGTTGATAGCTGAAGAAGACTTCAGGGGGCCATTGCAAACACCTGGGGATTGAGTCAGAGGGCGGAAGATCTTTGTTATTACATTGCAAATTCTAAAAATTAATTAATTTAGGCCCCGGGACAGTGGCCTAATGGATAAAGTCCTTGCCCTGAACCCACCAGGATCCCATATGAGTGCCAGTTCTAATCCTGGTAGCCCCACTTCCCATCCAGCTCCCTGCTTGTGGCCTGGGAAAGCAGTCGAGGATGGCCCAAAGCCTTGGGACTCTACACCTATATGGGAGACTTAGAAGAAGCTCTTGGTTCCTGGCTTCAGATCGGCTCAGCTTTGGCCATTGCAATCACTTGGGGAGTGAATCAATGGATGGAAGATCTTCCATCTGACTGTCCAATAAAAATACATCTTAAAAAAAATTAATTTGAAGGGCAGAGTTGGGCAGAAGGGAATCAGAGACAGAATGAGAGGGCTTCCATCTGCTGGTTAACTCCCTAGATGACTGCAGTGGTTGAAGCTGAGCTAGGCTGTAGCCAGCAACAAGGAGATTCCATCATGTATCCTACATTAGTGGTACAGGCCCAAGCCCTTGGACCATCTGCTGCTGCTGTCCCAGGTGCACTTAGCAGGGACCTGGACCAGAAGTAGAGAATCCAGGAGTCATATCTGGTGCACATATGGAATGCCACTGGCTCGCAGCTCAACCAATCCACTGTACCAGAAAGCCAGCCATATATACCTTTCAAATTTTTGCTTTTTAAACATGATGATGTTGGGCCCAGTGCTGTAACCTTGTAGCTAAAGTTCTCCCCTTGCATGCGCCAGGATTCCATGTGGGCCACCAGTTCTAATCCTGGCTGCTCCACTTCCCATCCAGCTCCCTGCTTGTGGCCTGGGAAAGCAGTTGAGGACAGTCCAAGGCCTTGGGACCCTGAACCTACGTGGGAGACCTGGAAGAGGTTCCAAGCTCCTGGCTTTGGATCAGCTCAGCTCTGGCAGTGTGGCCACTTGTGGTATAAACCAGCAGGTGGAAGATCTTTGTCACTCTTTGCTGTAAGTCTGACTTTCAAATAAAAAGAAATAAACCTTTTACAATAAGACAATGACTTTAAAGATAATGGTTTGGGGTGGGCTGAAGTGATAGCCCTGAACTGAAGCAATGGACTAGAATGCTGTGTCCCAATGTCCCTGTAAGATCCCTCTCCTCTCACGAAACACACAAAAGGCAGACCAAGACCAAACTGATGACTGAGCAAGGATAACCACTTTCTGGTAACAAGCAGGTAAATTTCTCTGCTGTGTTTGTGTCATGTATTAGATCCCCGTGAGTGCTAGGATCCACCTTGTCACCCAAACTTGACAACAATTCTATAGCTGGTGCTTGGATTTGAGTCCTGGTGCTGGTTCTGATACCAGCTTTCTGCATATGCATCACCCAGGAGTCAGCAAGCAATGGCATGAATACTTGGGTCCCTGCCACCCAGATTGAAGACAGATTAAACTGTGGGTTCCTGATTTTGGCCAGGGCAATTGCAGGAATTTGGGGAAAAGAAATAGATGGTGGGCCTGGTCTGGTGGGCTAGTGGCTAAAATCCTTGCCTTGAACCCACTGGGATCCCATTTGGTGGAAGGTTCTAATCCCGGCAGCCCTGCTTCCCATCCAGCTCCTTGCTTGTGGCCTGGGAAAGCAGTCAAGGACAGCCCAAACCCTTGGGATCCTTCACCTGTGTGGGAGACCTGGAGGAAGTTCCTGGCTCCTGGCTTCAGGTTGGCGCAGCATCAGCCATTGCAGTCACTTGGGGAGTGAATCAGTGGACGGAAGATCTTCCTCTCTGTCTCTCCTCTCTGTATATCTGCCTTTCCAATAAAAAAATAATAAAAATAAATCTTTAAAAAAAAAGTAGAAGATGGAAATAAAAATGAATAAACAAATGAGACTTCACAAACATAATGAACTTAACACGGATTCTATGCTGTTTGATGTCGCTATTAGCATTTAACAAGTCGGACCATCCGTCCCAAGTCACATGACTGTAGTTGAGAGTGCGGGTCTGCCTGATTTCAAGATCTAGTTTGTTTCAACACAAGTTCCAGTCCAAGACTTCTGATGTCCTGACCCCCACTGTTCCTCTAGTCTACTTTTTCATTCTGTTTTGGTACAAAGGAGGGGCCTGAACGCCCCACGACCAGAAAGAAAGCAGCAAGGACATTCTTCTAATCCCCGGTACTAAAGAGCCGGGAACACTGCTCCCGTACGGAGGGAGAAGAAAGCCGGGAAATTCGGAAGTTGCGTTCTTAGCACCGCGCCGGCCTACTGGGAGGAATGAGGCCGCAGCGCACTGCCCTTTCTCAAGATGGCGTCGAAGATAGGTTCAAGACGATGGATGCTGCAGCTGATCATGCAGTTGGGTTCGGTGCTGCTCACACGCTGCCCCTTTTGGGGCTGCTTCAGTCAGCTCATGCTGTACGCCGAGAGGGCCGAGGCGCGCCGGTGAGCGGGCTCACTCAGCGCCGGAAAGGGTGGGCGGGGGGCGGAGCGGCCAGTCTCGGCAACTGGGGTGATGTGGGGAAGCAGTTGGTGTCCAAAAGTTGGATCTGGCCCTCGGACTTGACGGGAGGGACTCTGGTCTGAGCTTCGGGCGGTGTCTAGCGTCGCAGTCCTCGCCGTGAGCGGAGACCCCAGATGGGGGTAGCGGTGGAGCGTGCCGGCACTCAGGGGGTCGCCAGGGTCTGGACTCCCGGTCATCCTGCCCTCGTTGCTTTTCCACTGCCACTCACAGGAAGCCAGACATCCCGGTGCCCTATCTGTACTTCGACATGGGGGCCGCCGTGCTGTGTGCCAGCTTCATGTCCTTCGGAGTGAAGCGTCGGTGGTTCGCCCTGGGGGCAGCACTCCAGCTGGCTATTAGCACCTACGCCGCCTACATGGGCGGCTACGTCCACTACGGGGACTGGCTGAAGGTGAGCGCCTCCGGTGGTGGCAGCAGAGGTCCCTCTTGGGGTAGCTGGTGGGTGAGGCTCGGTACTGACTAGGTGTGCTGCCCGCGAGGCAGCACCCACAGGCTTGTGGAGAGGGAGTAGAGGGGCGATGTGGAAACAGACTTCCCCAAAGTCATAGCACAGTTGGCGTATTGGGAGGACCAGAGCCAAGGGCACCGGGTCTCCAGCATCCTTTAAACAATCACTGTAGTAATAATCCCAGCCTTACAGGACAAAAGGGACTTGGGGAATACCTGATCCAACCATCTGGTCTTAGGAAATAATCTTTGCACACCATTTGAGTCTGTAAAAACTAGAAGGCCGTGCCAGGCACTTCAGGCTCAGGGGTGAGGTTGTACAGAAGCACTGCCCTCAGGTAAGGGAGCATACAGGTAGGCAACCAATTGCAAGACCGTGTTTTAATTGGGTGGCCTCTGTGCTCTGTCAAGATTCCCTGGAGGTATGGGGGGGGGACAGGATGCTCCATCTGAGCCCCCGCCCTCCCATTCCTTTCTGTGAAGTCCATGGACAAGTTTCCTAACCCCTTTGGGTCTCATGTTTTCACATCTGTTTTTTTTAAAAAATTATGTAACTCTTGGTACCTGCCCATTGTGCATGGAGATAGTACGAGGGTTTGTGTGGCAGGATGGGATGACTAGAAGTGGGTGCTCAGATCCCTTGGGCAGCCACAGTTGCTGACCGGGGTCCCCTTGCCCCAACCCAGGTCCGTATGTACTCTCGCACAGTTGCCATCATCGGTGGCTTTCTCGTGCTGGCCAGCGGCGCCGGGGAGCTATACCGGCAGAAACCCCGCAGCCGCTCCCTGCAGTCCACCGGGCAGGTGTTCCTGGGCATCTACCTCATCTGTGTGGTAGGTCAGGGGGCTGTGGGTGGGAGGTGTCTGGCTGGAAGTGAACTGTGGGCCCGGTCTGCTGGCCTGGCTCCTGAAAACTGCCCTGGCTGGCAGACCTGGGGAGAGGGTCTGCTTCCAAAATAATGGTTCGCATGTATGGGAGAAGCTCAGTTCTGCCCTCATGCTAGAGAGGCACCGGTAGGCAGAGACATGGGTGGTTTTGGGGTGCCATGTCCCCCTCCCATTCTGTGTGGGCTTTCCTGGGGAGCTGCAGTCTGATTGTGGAAGTGTGCTTCCTCACTGCCCCAGCTTCCTGGGGTTCTGTCATCAGAGGGTGGGCCACCGTGCAGGAGCACGGGGGTCTCAGTGGATGGCATGTCTGTCTCCAGGCCTATTCGCTGCAGCACAGCAAGGAGGACCGCCTGGCCTACCTAAACCACCTTCCAGGAGGGGAGCTGACTGTCCAGCTGCTCTTCGTGCTGTATGGCGTCCTGGCCCTGGCCTTCCTCTCAGGCTACTACGTGACCCTGGCTGCCCAGATCCTCGCTGTCCTGCTGCCCCCAGTCATGCTGCTCATCGATGGCAATGTGGCCTACTGGCACAATACACGGCGTGTTGAGTTCTGGAACCAGATGAAGCTCCTGGGAGAGAGCGTGGGCATCTTTGGGACAGCTGTTATCCTGGCCACTGATGGCTGAGTTCCACAGCAGGCAGTGGCGCAGGGAGAGACTGGTGGTACAGGCAGCCGCTGAGGGCCACCCTCCCTCTCTCCCAGCCAGCCCAGTTGCTTGTTTATGCTTTTTGGTCTGTTTGTTCGATCCCTGCTCCCTGGCTCTCCTGCCTTTACTTTTTGCACTGTGAGGCAAGTCTCTTCTCCCAGTCGCTGGGCTTGGCCCTAGTGAGAGTGGCAGCCAAGTCGTTTTAATGGCTCACAGGGTTTGCTCCTGTTAAGAGAGCTGACAGCCCCTGGGAGGGGAGTCAGGCTGGGGTAGGGGTGCAGCTGTTGAGAGCGGGAAACGGGACGGAAGCTAGAGATCCGAAAGGAGCAAATGTGAAAAATGTTTGTGGGAAGCTGACAGATGCCCCCTGGCCCTGCTGTGCTGTTTAGAGTTGAGAGAGAGGGAGAATGAATGAATATGTGTGTGTGTGTGTGTGTGCGCGCATGTGTGTGCTGACACAGGTGCGTCAGGCCAGGAGAGTAGAGGTGCTGGTGCCATGGGGTCACATAGGTCTCAGGGTATGCCAGGGCAGAAACGGCACCCGCCCTTTCTCAACCATGGTCAGAGTGTAGCAGCCACAGTCTGCCCTAGGGTCTGCAGGGGTGGGGCGGGCAGCTGCCAGCACCCCTGCTTCCTGCTGTTTGCAGTTCTAGGATTGACCTGGAGGGGGCGGAGTGCCTTCCAAAACACCAGACCACACAGTCCTCCAGAATAAACGTTTATAGACACTGGGCTTTGCTGTTGGCTGCGTCTGATCTTTGGCTTCCTGAAAGGCAGTGTGTGGGTCAGGCCCGCCGTGATCCACCAGGGTTTTTCTCCTCCATTGTGAGCCCCAATTGAAGAATGCACCTTGGAGTTCTCTCCTCAATCCCCCTTGTAGCTTGTCTCCTCTGCCATTTGCTGCCAGCTCTTTTTTCTTAAAAAGATTTACTTATTTTTATTGGAAAGTCAGATATACAGAAAGGAGGAGAGACAGAGAGCAAGATCTTCCATCCACTGATTCACTCCTCAAGTGGCTGCAACAGCTGGAGCCGATCGAAGCCAGGAGCCTCCTCAGGGTAACCCATGTAGGTGCAGGCTCCCAAAACTTGGGACCACCGATTGCTTTCCCAGGCCACAAACAGGGAGCTGGATGGGAAGTGGAGCCACTGGGATTAGAACTAACACCCATATGAGATCCTGGCACGTGCAAGGCAAGGATTTTAGCCATTAGGCTACCATACCAGGCTCACTGCCAGCTCTTTTGAAGAAATCGTTAGTGAGGGCAACTAGAACTAATAGTATGTGTTTATGACAGAGCCAAGTATGTGTCTGAGGTCCATGTGCAGATGTGCGCCCAGGTCCTGCGCAAGGACAGGGGCCACTCCGGCCGTGTTTCCTACACAGCCCCTTGCATCAGCTGTCTTCCTCTTGCCCATGTACCTGCAGCCAGGTACCTAGCACACTGTCAGCAAATGCTGAATAACAGCTTGGGGCTGTGTCTGTGCCTTTCTGGGCTTTGCTGGCCCTGCCCAGCCTGGACAAGGAGCTGCTATCAGCCTGGTCTGTTTGAAAGGTAGGTTTCCCTGTCCTGTGCTACTTAACTCAGGGGAGGGCTGCAGTGGTGGTGTCTACGTGGAGGCCTTTGGCCTCATTAATCAGCACCTGGACTTCAACTCCCCAAGTCCCTTAGGTTTCTCAGTTCTTGGGATCTGGGCCCAACTGGGGCCCCTGCTAATTTCCCTGCCAAGTGCAAGCTGACTCTCAGACAAAAGTGTGTTTTAATCAAGGACTCCTGAAAGTTGCAGGATCCAAAGGGATGAAAAAGAGCAGTAGGGTGGCAGGCAGGCAGGGGTTGGGGGTAGAAGTCACAGACATTGGGCAATGCAGTGGCGGAACTTGGCGTACCCTAGAGTAGGGGGAGCTCCCAAAGGCAGGTTCATACCCTGAGCTGCAGGCTACAAGGACAGGCCAGGGACTCATAGGATTGTAGCTTTTGGAGCACAGTGGACTTTCAGGCCAGCCTCCTCCTCCCCGTGCTTGTCTGACTTCACCTGTTCCTGGCAGGGCGGGGCTGCTGCTTTCCCTGCAGATGGCTCAGCCGACAAGCCCCGTCCAGCCTGTGGCTGCCGGTGCCACCTGCAGCAGGTGTGGCTTCTGGTCCTCCCTGGCTGTGCCAGGGCCTACAGGGCTGGGAAGGTCAGCTGCCTGGGTCTGAGGCTGGCTTGCAGAAGGAGTCTGGCAGCCCCTTGGCGTGGTTGACCAGCTCGTAGGAGTCCCGGATGTCGGCCAGGCCAAACCAGAAGAAGATCCACTGCTTGTTGGAGAAGCTGCCGTCACTGTGTGTGAAGTACCTGGGTGGGACAAGGCAAAGGGGCAGCACCTGCTGGTGAGGCCAGGGCTGGCTCCTCACTGACTCCTTTTCAGAAAACATTTTGGGGGGAGGGTGGGCTGGCACCTGCTCCGTGCCAGGCAGGAGCTGGTGTCTGGGTTCATCCTAACATACAGCCTGAACCTGCATGTTTACCGTTCTGATTCTACAGAGAAGCAAGCTCTCTTGCCAGGGTCACACATCCAGGAAGGCTGGAGGGAGGCCATGACTTGTCATTTACACTGGGCAGCAGGGGTTGAAAGGCCAAGGCGCAGTGGGCCTGGAATTGGGAGCTTGGGAGAGGCGAGTTCTGCCTTCAAGGAAAGCAGCTGTCTCTGCTCTGGGGAAAGCTCATGTCCCCTGGGTGGGCTGCCTCCAGGGCTGTCACTGGCAGGGCCTCTTGCGGGGGTCACAGGGGAGGAGGACTGGATGACTGCAGAACTGGCAGCACTAGGACCTACCAGGGATTGATGGGGTTGGTGACCCGGGAGCGCCAGAAAAGGGTCTGCTGGTCCCGCCGCAGGCGCTCCCACAGCATCTGGCCAGAGCCTTGACCCTGGCGGCTGGAGCTCACCACAAATTTATCCAGGTATGGGGTGCCGCCCAGGACCGGCTCCATGGTCAGGATGGCAGCAGCGTTGTACCTGGTGAGCGGGAGAGGCAGGCTGGGACCTCCCCCTGAGCCCTGGTCTGACCCTGCCCTGGGCGCCTATAGACTCACCCCTCAGACACGTAAATGGAGTGCAGCCTGGGGCGGAGCGAGGCCAGGTAGTCGTCCCGGAGCGTCTTGCCGAAGCTGGCGTTGATCAGGTTCACCAGACGGCCCTGGTCCAGACTGTCCAGGCTGCACACTCGCAGCATCCGTTCCGCATTCTTGAACAGGGTCCCGGATCCTGGAGGTGAGTCAGGGGGGCAGCGAGATGTAGTCCAAGAGCCCAGCCCCACGGGGTGTGCGCCAGTGGGACCAGAGGGACATTCGCCCACTTCGGAGACCTCCATGCTGAAATGACAGGTGGTCCCCAGACTTTCTGCATTTTTCACTCAGATGCTTTTCCCTGGCCCGTGACTGCTCCACCTCACGCGACACCTGCAATCCCACCTGTCTAACCCTGTGTCTTCACCCCCCCTCCCCCGCGTAGCAGTCCACACTGTCTAGCACCACCCCGCCCGCCTTGCCGGCTCTGGGTCAGCAGGGGTTCGGGACTGTCTACCGGTCTTCCCCCCCACCCCCGCTGGGGCCTCTGCCTGCAGCTTCCTTACAGGTATGCGGATAAGCCGCCGGCACAGGACCCCCCATCCAGGTCCGGAGCCCTCACCTTTGTTACTGAAAAGCTCTGTCAGCAAAGTGCTGGCAGCGGTGATGACGGCAGAGGCGTGGTGCGGCAGGCGGCTGAGCACGTCCACGATGAGCCGCATCTGCTGCCGCTCTTTGTCGTTCAGCCACTCGTTGTTAGTCACCAGGTCCAGGTCGGCGGGCAGGTTCACGTTACTAAGGACCTACGTCCGGGGCGAGGCTGTGAGCCTTTGGCAGAGCCCCAGGGAGGGAGCCACGGACCCTGGGGAGTGGTCTTTGAACCATTGGCCCTCGCTGCTCCGGGAGCCCTCTGCCAGGGAGGACTTAGATCTGGGTCTCGCATACTCATCGGAGCCTTGCGGCCCGGCCGGCTGGCCAGTCAATGCCGCTGTGGCGACAGGCGGGCAGGGGGAACGGGCCCAGCCTCAGGAGGAGGGGCGCACCTTCTGGCTGGCGTCGCGCAGGCCACCTGTGTTGTTGAGGAAGATAATTTTGGCGGGCTGCAGCGCCTTGGCCAGTGATGCGGTCACTTCCAGCGAGTCGAGAAGCACGGAGCGGCGCGCAGCCGTCTCCCCGATGGGGCACAAGATGGGAATGCTGCCGGACTCCAGGCACCATTGCAGCAGGTCGGTCTCCACCGAGACGACGCCGCCGTAGCTGTGGGCCAGACAGGGTGCTGGAGAGGCCTGCAGGCCCCGGGGCAGGGTGGGTCACAGTGTCTCCGAGGGCGCCGGCCGCCGTGGACATGGCGGCGGCGGCACTAACCTGGCATGGGGAGCAGGCGCGGCACTAACCTGGCATGGGGAGCAGGCTCGGCAGCGCCTAGCACGGAGCCGCCACCGAAAAACGGCACTGCTGTGGCCGCGTTGTGTCGCAGGGCGTCCACGAGCACCTTGCAGTTCTGGGCAAGCTGCGCCTTGGCGTCCCAGAAGGACAGACACCCAGAAGGTGCCGTGGGGGCCGGCAGCCCCAGGACCACTAGAGGCTTCATGTCCATGCGCTGCAGGAAGGCCAGGGCAAAGGCTAGGCTGGACACGGCCTTTGAGCACTTGAGCACCTCCTCGTCCACCTGGGAAAGATTGGGCATTCAAGGGGCGCCAGCCTGGCCCGGGAACGCTCTCCTGCACTCCACCTTGCCAAAGAGATGTCAGCGCCCCCTGCATCTGGCCACCTGTTGCACTCTTTGCCCTGTGGGATCTTGCCACTCCCTTATCTCACTGCAGCATTCCTCTCGCTGTACCTCCCTGCGACCTTGGACTCTGGGACGCCTTTCCGGGAGGGCTGACGCAGGTGGCTAGCGTCCAGCTTCGCAGCTCTTAGTCGGAACCCCAAACTGTGTCCATAGTTTGTATGTTTGTGGGGGGCAGGGTGACTTACTCCAGCCAGGTTGGGGTCCCCAGGTTTCTCCTGCCGGCTGGGTTGGAGGCGCCAGCAGGAACACGCGGCCTTGCCCATCCCCAGTGTTCCTGGCTCCCAGGCACGCCTTCCCAGTACACAGCATTAACCCTCGCCCCTTGCGGTGACACTGCCGCCTTTGGGCTCCGCTCACCTCTATGACGGCGAATGGCTTATCCGAGAAGTGGTGCTGAGTCTGGAACCGCACGAGCCAGTGGCGCGCCTCCCCCGGGCTGGCCTCGCACTGGCTCAGGAAGGCCTGGAGGTCCCTCTGGATCAGCGAGCGGCCGGCCGGGGACTGTGGAGTTTCAGGCAGCACAGGGATCGAGCGAGGTGGCGGCTCCTGGACGGCGGGCGATGGGGCGCCGTCCTCCGAGCTCTCAGTTTTCTGCCGGGGGCGCTGAGCTGGTGCCCTGGCGGTGCTGAGCCGGCGCCCTGGGCTGGCGCCTCCCGCCGCCCGCAGCCGCGTGCTGCAGCTCAGTCTCCGGGACCCCCGAGTATCCCGGGGGGCGCGCCATCTACAGCCTGCGAGGACCGTGCCGAGGGCCGCGGCCACTCGCGCGGTCACCATGACTACAACCTAAGCGGCTCAATCTCCACCCCACCCTGCTGCACAGGTGCCGTCTGCTCAGAAAGCCCTGCATTTGGGGGTTCTTAACAGGCCAGCTGGGCGGGGCTGAGCCTGGCCTGGG